TTCGTCTGATGGTCGACAGCACGCAGAGCACTCTCCATATTGGAGATCACCTCGATACCCTGTTTCCTGCGTTGTTCAGTACGGTTTTTGAAGTAGAGTTCGCGCAGGTAATGCCAAAGACTCTTGGAGTTGACCGTCGATGTCACCGGGTTGGTCATGGTTGCATACTCCCCCTTAACTTGAGGTGGAGGTGCTTTATGGTAAGGGTGTCCATCGAGGACATCGTCGGTTCTAAGCGTGCCGCCATCGTCATCGTCATCTTCGTAAGGCTGTCGAGGTAACCTCTGCTTTCCGCCAAGGGCATTGCCATTTCGAAGGTTAGAAGCGTTGGTTACCATGCTGTCCTTGTTAATTGCCACAAACATACTCTTACGTATGGGTGTGACGAAGATGTCACGGACGGCACGGAAGTTACCGCAGTTATTCAAGTGCTCGTTCTCTAGACGGAAGAAGTTCCAGATAATTCGTCTGAATAGGAAAATCGTGGTGGTTAGGGGCAGAACGGCAATGTCGCCTTTGGAGACTGAAATAAGCAACAAAAAGCAAAATAGCGAGGCCACTAAAATAATGGGCAACATACGTAAACATCGCTAGCCCCATCACCGTGTTTTATGGGAGCTGTGTTAAGAGAATTTTTTTGGTTGGGCCATATCATAGAAACGAAAAAAATAATTAAAACGTTAAGCGTATAAGGGCAAACAAATAGCAGACAATTATTTAAATAACCAAAAAATTGCGCGCGATAATTAAAATGACAAATGCAACCAAAGGGAAACAAGATCCGCTCTTATAAACTCAAATTTATTTTATTTTTAAAAAAAATGCACAAAAATATTCTTCCTTGTGCTCGTCTGGTAGCAAATTACGCCTTTTTCAAACTTGAAAAGAAGGAGCGTTTTGGTCATAAAGCTTTCTCAGTTAGAGACAGTGGTGTGGATACCTTCCATGTGATATAAATCCGCAACCACTTCGAACAGATGGTTGACAGTGTGGGCTGAGACAACCTTTGAGCAACCACGCTGAAACGAAGTTGACAGCGCTGCCCACCGCCAGCAGATCAATACTGTCACTATTGGAAGGTACCTCAACGAATAAACATTTTTTCTACAGACCATACCAAGAGACAGATGTCGTCTATTGACAAAGTGCTGGAGCATCCTGCAGGGACGAAGAAACTGTCAGGCGATATTGCAAAATGCCTGGCCAGGGCAGATTAACCATCACCAAGAGGAGCTATGGATTGTCCAAACTTTATAAACATGAAGTGCCACTGCGGCCGTCAGCAATCAGCGCACCCCGTTACGTAACTGCTAAAAGCGTATTCCGTCAATACTATCTACTTACCAGGGATTGTTACCCTCCCATTCAGAAATCGACGGTGCCAAGAGAAATTGAGAGGACTACCCAGTCCCCGCTGATAATGGCTTCGTTTGATAACGTTTCTTTGTACACGTCCATACCACAAAATTTAGCAGGGCAATACACTGAAGAAGTCCTTTGAGACGGATGTCTTCCCAGCTAACTTGCTTTAATCTCTAAACGTTTGTTTATAGAAACTGTACTATGAGAACAACAGCCCAATTTCCCATGAACGTAATACCGTCAGCCGTTTGCTACCACAAGCAAAATCATCTTATTTTGACGAAGAATGGTGATAAACTACCCGCCGAAATTGGTTTCTGCAAAATTGTTATCCTAAAGGTTTTGTACGCTGATCGACGAAGCAACAAGAACCGGGAGAACAGGAACTAGATAGATCCAATCAGGTGTTATTAGAAAATACGCGGCGAATCCTCCCGAACATTAAGAATGTGTCTGAATTCCATGAAAGGCACTTGGGGAAACACCAACTAAATATGGCACACAAGCCAAAGACTCCTTTAAACACTCAGGGTGTATATCTTCCAAGGATAGGGTCAGCTATCTGAACAAGTGAAAGAGAGTGTGTATGATACGCTTAATTTCGAAAATATATTTCAAAAATTTTCAGCAGAAACGTCCTCCGTTCTAAAAGAATAAAATTAGGCGCGCAAACTCATAACACCGGGATATCAGAAGTAATCCGTAACCGAAAATAACTGCAATTTTCGACATCATGGATAAATGTCCTAGAAAGAGTCGTCGAATATAGGCCAAACTGGACTGCATTCAAAACAGTGCTAGCGTTGTGACCTTGTGCTCTCAAGACCTAATTGTATTTCAAATAAACAAAGAGGGACAAAAATCGGCCTCTAATGCGCGAAGTAGGCCAACCGACCTGTATGTAAAAAAATTACATGCGAGGGGAAAAAATGCGGCTGAAATTGAAAAGCCCGCCAGCGTCGACAAGATCCCCTGTGAGGCATATAACTCGATGTCGCCTCTCCACAGAACGCAACAGGAGTGATAAGCTGAAAGCCAGACTTAATTGGGACAGCTAGTCGGTTCTTGGACCCGGTCTGCAGTGGAGGGTGGAGAAAGAACAGAGCTCGGCTGGTGCGCGCTGGTAGAAGTCGACTACGGGTGGCAATAACATTCCTAGGCAGCTAGTCCTTAAAATAACATCTAGCCGAGGGACTGGGTATCAGAGACTTAGAGCAAACTGGAGTACACTTGTGTAGGAGTCAGCTGATGTGCACGGGCGGGGGACGCGAAGGCACATGCTGACAACCTCGGAGCGTGACCAAAGGGCATCTCACCCAGCTAAGTTTTCTTCAAGCGTGTCGTGCAAAGGTTACATGTGTTTTTGACTTGTTTTCGTGGGGTATAGATCAGCATGAATACGCCCCAGATAGATTTCTAGGACGTTTGTTTACGCACAATGCGGTTTGCCCTTGGTTCCAAACCACTAGCATGTTCTTTTATGATTAAATAGATTCAATGGACTTCTAGAAAAACCGGGGTCACAACAATTGTCAAGGTTACGGCTAGAACAAAGAAAAACACATTACGACCTGAAGAAATGAAATATTACTACTGAGAATGCTGTTATGAGGGGCATTTTTTTACCAGAATTACTACCTCTAGCACTAATACTACTATAATTACTACCACTCTGGAATAAGGCCACGAATTCGACTTCTCGGGCATACGGATAATGGCACACGTTGCTACAAAGAGGGGGCGAGAACGACTGGAAGCCTGGGTATCAGGCTAGGACTCCATCAACAGGCATGTAGATAAACCGCCCTGTTAGTTTGCCATCCGTGCTCGCGACCAGAAACTACGGCCCAGTTCCTATCCACACGCATAGGCTACCACGTCAAGGTTACAGGCCATAACCCCAGGGACGCACGGGGGGGGACACACGATAAGATGGTGGGAGCATGGATGTGGCGTGAGCAGGAACCAATCACAACTGCCACCCCCTCCCTTACCAACCCCATTTACGCGTAGCCAACGTTTGCTGCTTTCTCATTTTCTCTGACGATGGCTTCTCGTGGGGAGCCGAAAGCTCAGAAGAATGAAATTACCGTTTTAGAGGTCGCGTCTTCTTCTTCTTCTTCATTACCATCAGTATCCCCGTAGCTTCTACTATTACTAATGTTACTGCTAATACTACTAACACTATTAATAATAATTATAGTGTGGAACTAACTGGTCTGGTAAAGGAACAGTTTTTGCCGTCGGAAGCAGTTGCATAGCGACTTGTAGTATACAATGAAAACAAGGGTAGCCGGATAGCCATTTCTGGCTTATAAGCCGGTCATGCCCAA